AACAACTTCATGAGGTAGGTGCTATCATACTCCCATTTTAGTCTGGAAAATTACGACACAGTTTAGTAACTTGCCCAGGGTCACATAGCTAGTAAGTGGCAACACTAGGATTTAAACTCAAGCAGCCACACTTTTAATCTATATCTTCTTATATCTATCCACTCCACAGTCCATTCTTAATAAATGCTTTTGAGATGATGGTCTCAAACTAAATCAAAATAATGAGCAAAATAAAACGAAGTCAAAACTGTTAAGTGGCATTTCTCACAGCCAAATATAATTTTTTGGTTTACAGGTCAGTAGTTTTCAACTTTGGCTTTTGCCACAATCTATGATGTCACCAATTAGTTGCATTTTCATTTTACATCTACTGATTCAGTGGTTACTAGGCTTAAGGTACAGTATTTTTAAATCTAAATTACAACTACATGACCTATAGCAGCATTCTTCCTGAATAAAAAAAGGCATCAGATTCTAAAGACTTCCAGAAAGACATGTTTTAAAGGGAAAGAATATGCCAGTAACCTATTAGAAGAAAAACAATTTTCAAAGGAATTTTCTATCTACTTTCTGAAAGCAAATGATTTATTTATGTGTATACATGTATATCTCTAACTACATAATTGGGCAAAAAATAGTAATGGAAAAAGGCAAAATCATTTTCACTAAAGAAAAACTTCAAAAAAGAGATTTTATAAAATCTGATGGCAAGAGAAGTAGTAATACTTTGGCTTAACGTTTGTTTGTTTGTTTGTTTTGGTTTGGTTTTTTTTTTTTAAGATTTTATTCATTTATTTGACAGAGAAACACAGCGAGAGAAGGAACACAAGCAGGGGCAATGGGAGAGGGAGAAGCAGGCTTCCAGCCTAGCAGGGAGCCCGATGCGGGGCTCGATCCCAGGATGCTGGGATCATGACCTGAGCTGAAGGCAGACGCTTAACGACTGAGCCACCCAGGTGCCCTTGACTTAACGTTTTAAACAAAGGAAAAAAAAATGAGACATGAATATGGACAAAATTAATGTGAAGCAAAAAATGTTGCTATTTTAAAAAGGAGAAACTAGAGAAAAGGCAGTAACAGAAGTTTTGAAATTGATTAAAAAGGGAAGCAAACGAGATGAAAGCCCTAGATAATCTAGGCAATCCAGTTCAAAGCTCTTGAGTCAGATCTTGCTGAAACAGAGAGCCCCTATAATAATACTCTGGCAAAAGGAAGTATTGTGGCCTCATTCTATGAAAGAGCTAGGACGGCTTACTGAGGATATACTAGTGGATGAAATGGAAGAGTGGTGATAGCAAGTCAGCTGGATTGTAGACCAACATATGGTCTCTATCTCCCTGCTGAAGTCATTCTTCTAACCATTCGAGGGGACAGAAATCTGACACTGCTTATAGGCTAATCAATTCAGCACTTATCTGGCTTCTGTTAAGTGTTTCACATATGTATATATTCCCAATTAGATCATTAACTTCTGGAGAGCAGAAGCTATCCTATCCTAGCTATTTTACTTTCACCCATATAACCTAGCACAGTGCTATGCATGTAGTAGATAGATGCTCAAACCTACAATCACAACATCAGAGTTTACAGAAATCTTAAGAGATCTAGTCTAGCCTCTTTCTTTTTATCTGAGATCAGGACCTGAGCTGAGATCAAGAGTCGGACACTTAACCAACTGAGCCACAGAAGCGCCCCTAGCCTATCTCAAAAGCAAAGAAACTAAGAGTAGTTAAATGTCCCAATAGCCTAAAGTCACAGAGGTAGGATTAACATCCCTAATCCCATGATAATCAGTTCATCTTTTTCCAAATAGCCTCTAATTTCTTCCATTATGATAAAATGAATAATCACCTACTTCATCAGAAAACAAAGTAATAGCACCAGTATTCACTACATGCTAGGACTTTCAGAAGGAGATCTCCTTGGCAGGCTATGTGCCCTGGTCTGGGATGACTGCTTTATAAACATTATATAAACATTATTTTTTTTACTTAATACAATAAATACTCTAAGAGATATTAACCCAATTTTACAAATGTAAACTGACCATGATAACAGCAAGTGGCAGAACCCAGATTCTGTTTGTCACCAGTGGCTCTTAACCACTAACCTATACCACCTCTCGTTGAATTTAACACAAAAATCCCAAAGTCTCAAGAGTCCAGCACAGTACCTGACCCAAAGAAAATAAAGAAATGTTTAAAAGACTGACTAAATGGATGGGTCATTTAATTAATTAAAAAGTATGGTTCTCTCACAGTAAATACTTCTAAAAAGCAGCTTTCACTGTTCATCTAATTACATAATCCCCTGAGAAAGGGTTTAATAGTGAGCAGTTTGCATACTAACAGAAGATTTAAAGAATGGCTAATTTCCTTATCCTACAAATAATTCATCTGTTCAACAAATATTAAGTGAGAAACTATTTTTGTGTCACAGTGTAAATTCGAAGATAAGTAAAATAAAACTTTTTCCTACAAGATTCTATTCCATAAATTAAAACCCACACAAGTCTCTAAACTACTTACCAAAATCAAAATACATGTGGTACATCTCCCTCCTTCTTTGGTAAAGGAAAAAGAACATTAACTGAACACCTACAATGTGCCAGTTCTTAATCCTCAACATACAGTCTCGCTTAATCCCTTACAGCTAACTGAACTAGGCCACATCTCCATTTCTGATGAACAAATTTGGGCTTTAAAAGATTAAGTACTTGTCTCAGGTCCCTTAGCTAATTACTACAAATTACAGAATTGGAACCTAAGTCTGTCTGACCAAAAGTCTATGTTCTCTCCTAAAAGGAGTTAAAAGTATTATTTTATTTGCTCACCAAAGCATAGAATGGGTTTCTTTCCAAGGGAGACTGAAAACACTGCTTATTTTAACAACAAAAAAAGAATATATTATCACAATCCTCACAATCGCCTATTAGTTATTATCATTTCATACCATTATTATAAATGATGAAGCTAGAACTCAGAGAAGTAGTTTACCCAAGAACATACTGCAAGGAAGCAGAACTTTACCAGATCCGCACCAGGTGTGCATGCAACAGTAACCACAGGAATAATGCAGAAAGACCTTAGCTCTTGTAATTCTAAGCTTAAGATGCAAAACATCTAAATTAATCAGACCTTGTGCTTGCTAGGTGAAAAAGAATGGTAGGGGCGTCTCCGTGGCTCAGTCGTTGGGGGTCTGTCTTCGGCTCAGGTCATGATCCCATGGTCCTAGGATTGAGCCCTGCATCAGGCTCCCTGCTCAGAGGGAAGCCTGCTTCTCCCTTTCCCACTCCCCCTGCTCATGTTCCCTCTCTGGCTGTGTCTCTCTGACACAAGAAAGAAAGAAAGAAAAAGAACAGTAGATATCACTTATATCAACTACCACTTTCAATGATAAGCCTATTTTCTAATAATATTCTTTAAATAGCAACCTGAAGACTGGTCTCTAAATTTCAAGCCTACAGGCCATTTTATTATTACAAGCAATATCTCTCTGGATTTGTTACCAGTTAAAATTATTCCTAAAGTACCAAACAATGTACTATTTCACAAAGCAAAGGTCTGTTAAAAGAACAATATGTTAAAAATACATAAAATCAACATTTAAGCATTTAAAACTTTCACAGGAACAGATGAATAGAAATATTCCTTAGCAATATTTTCAATGCATCATCTGAAAACTTTATTTCTTGGCATATTTTTAAGGCCTAAGTGTGAACTAAAAGAAAGGATGCGTCCAATGCCAGTTCTAAAAATGGTACTACCTTGGTCACAAAAATATTTAGTTTTACTGTACAGCTGTTTCTCAGAAATCCAGAGGAGACTTTTCTACTGAGAGTGGCTCAAGCATATTCCTAAGGAACAGTCCCACCTGTTTCTGGTAAATCAAAGTGATGAATAAGAGGATGGTTGAGTATTAATACATAGCATGTTTAAGTGTGCGCTTTTATTTACATTTTACTAAATAATAAAAGCATGCTTTAACCCAAAATTCAGAAATAAGTAAAATCATTCTACTGCAAAGTAGAATGTACTTTCTAACCAGAGACTTCCATGTTTGTTCCCCCCACTACAACACAAAGGTTGTCGTCTTCTCTTAACCTCATAAAAACTACAGGAGTTCTTCAGGAAGCTTTGCCACTGCCTGATCCGCACCTAACTGTGGATCATTAAAAACTTGAATGTATCACAAATTACTTCCAGTACTGAACTAGCACTAGCTCAGCTATAAACTAATAAGAGGTAAACAAGTACAGAATGTGACTGATCCTGGAGCAGGGCACTGTTTACTTACATGGGAAGATACTCATGTTGTGATGGGAAACGTGTTGCACTGTCCTCCCCTGGCTCCAAAAAACAAACAAACAAAACAAAAAACGGTACTTTGACAAGCTAGTGTAATCGGGGGTCTATTCCCAAAAGTTCTGACCTCTCTTTAACGCTTAAACACAAACGCTCAAATAAGGACACAAGGTGCCCGAGGTGCTGCCTGTGGCATAACCTGGAAGGACACCACTTTATCCAAAAACTGTTCTCCCCCACAGTGATGAGCTAAATGGGAGGAACAGATACTGTCATTCACCGTAGCGAAGCAAAAGAGAAAAAATCAAAACCAGACGCGCTCCCTCCTCCCCCCGAGAAGCTTGGAGCAGGACTAGGGGCGTTAAGTTGCGGTTCCAAACCAGCACCAGGCCCCCGTCGCCTGTGCACCCGCGAGCAGCGTAGCGACAGAGCAGAACCATCAACATCTCCACCTCTGTCCTCTAGGCACAGCCAGGGACTGTGTCCCAGAGCCCGCCCCGACCAGGCCCGCCCCGCTATCTCCACCCCGTTATCCAGTCGCAGCTGCGCTCGGGCCTGGATTTGCCTCCCCGCCCTCCCCAACTTCGGCACATTCCACTACCCCGACACGGTTAGGCCACAGCCCTCGGCAAGTCGGGGGGGAGGGGAAAGGTCGGGACCCGAAGGGCGAGGAAGGCGCTCGGTGCTGTCCCTCACCTCTGGATGGAGAAGGGGCACGCAGCCCGCTTCGGTATCGTACTCATCCGGGCCGTCCGCCATCTTGGTATTAAATCCCTCCTCCCGCTGCATGCCGGGAGAAAGCGTTTCACCCTCGCGGGGCTCGGGCGCTGCGGAGGGCACGCGCGAGGGCGAGCTCGAGCCCCGCCGGAGGCGATGCGGCCGCCTCCTCCGCCTCCTTCCCCTCCCCCCGTGCCGCCCCCCTTTGCCCCCACCCCACTCTGGGGGCGGGGGGGGGGGGGTCCCTGCGCGCGTGCGCGCGAGCCGGGCCAGCCCCGAGCGGGAGCGCGCTCTGCTGCACTGCGCTGGGCCAGACCGGCGGAAGGCTCTGGGCGTGGGCAGCGCGGCCCGGGGGCGGGCCCCGGGCACGAGGCAGATGTGCGCCGCTGTCCGCTCGAGGGAGGCGGTCAAGAGACGACGCGGTAACGCGGGAAACCTGGCGGCCCGGTGGGAGCAAGACGGAGCTGCGGCACAGCGTAGCGGAGAACTGGGGGCCTCGGGCTACCGAGGCGGCGCACGCCCACGAGCACCTTGTCCGGCTCCGAGACCCCCGGGACTCCTTCCCAGGGACCCGGGCGGAACCTTCACCCGGCTCCAGGTACAAGGCTTTGGGCTTTTAGGCTTGAATCCAGACGTGCATCTCTCCCGAAGACGACAGACGCGCCCCCGTCCTCCACACTCAAAAAGATCATCCCGCAATTTATGCCTCCGGGGCGCGCCCGGAAAAACATGGGTGAAGCTTGAGGCTTCCTCCTAGAGAAGCCTTTTTTAAATGACCCAACCAGCCTTCGTTGGTCTTGAATTAACAGTAACCACATAAAAAATTTACACCCTCAAAGCCCACACACCCCCATCTGCTACATTTTAATGTAACCCAGGAATGCAGAGCAGGAGTCATTTAAACCGAATTCGCTGAAATTCGAACCCGATAAAATGACTAAAGCCATTTTTAAACGGATATTAGGGCTCTATGATGGGGGTGGGGGGAATTCCTTCCTAGAAATGTGCTGATGTAACAATTATGGAAAACATGTATCTCTGCTTTTAGTTATTAAGAACTGTAAATCTAAACTGCTCAGAGAAAGATGTAGGAGACATCACGAAACATGCCTGTTAGAGATTCTGATACTAACCTGTTTCCTGTTAAAGCCAAATCAGCCAAGACCACCGGGAAGAAGCCTGCCATCTGATAAGGTCAGATTTATGTGTAAATCAGGAGGAAGGGCACTCCGAGGAAGCGTGGAGACCACGGGAAAAGGGAGGATGAAGTGTCTTTTGTAAGGTTTAGGTTCCCGCCAAAGGGAGTCAGGAGGGTCTAGGGAGAGCGAGTACCAGTTCTGGATTGGACGCTGTTTGTGAGGTGGGATTAGGAAAAGCAGAGATTAACTGGGGATTGGATGCTATCATGAGGAGACGACCGTTCACTAATTGGGTGCACCCAGTAATAAATAAAAATAGCTGAATAGCTAATAATAGCTAGCTATTAGCTATTAAAGAACTAGATATTAGCTAGAGATTAGCTATTAAATAGCTAGATAGCTAATAAATAGCCTTGGCGTCATTGGTAAGAGAGCAGTATCCCTCAGATAGGTGGATATAGCTTTTTACAGCTGCCGCATGGCCGTGAGAAGAACAAGATTCTCTGTTAACTGTAGCTGGTGTATCTGTCTCTGTCCTCCCAGCACTGCTGCTTTTTCCTTCAGTTTGAGCTGATTTTCATTCTTTGGGTCCTAGCCCAAACGAAGAATTTTGGTTTGACTCTTTCACTCAGCATGCAGAACTAGACAGAATTAGGGTTCTCCCTTTGGCGCTCCAAACTGCCTTTAGATGCATTTTAACATGGACAGAAGTAATTTTCACTTCAACAATTCAATTTTCATCTTGCTCCCCCTTACCCTATGTCATGCATTTACTGGAAATAGAAGATGGGAGTAAAGAAGATACTGAATTGGGGCGCCTGGGTGGCTCAGTCGGTTAAGCGGCTGCCTTCGACTCAGGTCATAATCCCAGGGTCCTGGGATCGAGCCCCGCATCAGGCTCCGTACTCCGCAGGAAGTCTGCTTCTCCCTCCCCTACTCCCCCTGCTTGTGTTCCCTCTCTTGCTGTGTCTCTCTGTCAAATAAATAAATAAAATCTTAAAAAAAAAAAATACTAAATTGTGGGGGAGTGACATAGAGACAAGTATAGATAACAGGAAAGAATGTTTCACTGGTGCCCATGTATTAGGAACATTGGGGTGTATGAGTTCTCAAAAAATGGAGATGTTTAGCCTTCCCAGAGATCACTGCTGTATGACTGAAAACAATAGTTATTAAATTAAGAAAGAAAAATCAGGAGTAAGAGCAGCCATTCTTGGGAAAATATGTTGAAGTTGAGGCTTGGGGGAGGTTCAACATGGACCGAAATGAACCCTATAGATATAACCAGAGTCCATCTCGGTAATTGCATAGTTCTTACCTACATGCAGATTTGAGTCAATATATTCAGGGTACTGTGAAGGACAGCCAAGAAAGTAGACATGTCAATGGATAAATTGGCAAAAGAATACCATAGAACAAGGGAGGTATGCAGAATAATTGCTGAAAGAGAATAAAATACAAAGAGAAGATGGACCTTGTTAAAGAAGAATTATGAAATGGATTTAGAAGCAGACAGAGAGGCCTGGGGAATTACTGTATAGATGTGGCTTCATATGTAATTTCAGAGAGTACTAGAGCTAAAGACATCATTAGAGGTCATCCAGTTCTAGTCAAACTCTAACATTTCACAAATAGGGAAATGATAATTGGGGAATTTAAGAAACCTGCTTAAAGTCATAAAACTAGGTAGCAGCAGAACCATGTCTAGGAGCCTCCTAACTCTTCCCCATCTACTGTTCTTGGTTCTACCCCACATTTTTTTCTGTTGCAATTATCCTCAGTGAATTATTATTTGGTCTATTTAATACTTTATTAAACGCTTGTTCTGTGAAGTGCTAGAATTAGTAACCACAACAAAGAGATAATTTTTAAGATACCATACAGATTATTTGACTTAGCTAAATGCTGTTCCTTAGTTATCGTCCTTTGAAATCTAATGAGATCCACTGATGGTAAGATTTTCCTATAAGCCATTTCATAAATTTCTGTATCTCATTAGAATTGTGGACTCTAGGACCAAATAAGATACTACCTACTTAAAACTGGGATGGGGCAAGGTATTGTTATTTTAACACAGAAAAGCAAGCACATATAGCAATACTCTATAATTTTATGTTAAATGAAATGAGAACAATATTTTTGCACTCATCTTCTGTAGGAATCACTGATGTAAATAAAATTAAGCTAGAGAATTAAAGGAAACGTGGAATTTCACATGTGTGATAGTCAACTGCTAAGCCAACAATTCTCATCTCCTGGTATTCACACTTTTGGGTAGTGCCCTCCCACACTGAATAAGGCTGATATGCATAACCAATAAGATATTGCAGAAAAATTTTGTGTGACTTTGGAAGCTGGATCATCAAAGGCATTGTGGATTCTGTCTCATTTTCTCTTGGATTACCAACTTTCGGGGATGTAGCTGCCATGTCATGAAGACACTCATGCAGCCCCTATGGAGAAGTCCACATGGCAAGGAAGTGGAGCCTCCTGTCAACAGCCGGCATTGACTGGGCAGGCATGTGAATGAGCCACCTTAATAGCAGATCTTCTAGCCCTAGTCAAGCCTTCAGATGATTGCAACACCAGCTGACATTTTTACTGTAAGCTCATGAGAGACCCTGATCCAGAACCACCCACCTAAACTGCACCATGATTCCTCAACCACTAAAATTGTGTAAAATATTAAGTGTTTATTTTTCTGAGCTGCTGAATTTGGGGATAACATATGTATTATGTTATATTATATTAATTATATTAATTATATTAATTATATATTCTATTTATTATACAGCAGTAGTAGATAATCAGTATGTAAAGCCTGAAACCCCTGAAATCATTTACAGAGTTATGTGTTTATAAGAATAGAGCAGGATCAAAACATCCAATTTGACTTAAAAGAACTGTTCAATTTTTTCCTAAGTTTTAGTCCCTTAAAAGGAATATATAACCAACTTTGGGGGTTTGTTTGTTTGTTTTTGTTTTTTAAGTAGGCCCCACGCCAAATGTGGGGCTTGAACTCTTGACCCTGAGGTCAAGACCTGAGCTTAGATCGAGAGTCAGACTCAAGCTATGAACCCACCCAGGTTCCCCTGTTGTTATTTTTGGTGGGGGAGAGGGAAGTGTGGCATGCAAATTCTTCCTTTCCAGGGAATGTTTAAAAAGTGAGCTGGTCACATCCCTAAAGAGAATGGAATCAGTTCTAGTAACTTGGGATCAGCCTTCAAGGACCGTCAGTGTGAAAGATAATGGAACTTTGTGTTGAAAAATAATGAGGATTTGAAATAACAATGTATATTTTGAAGGGGGAACAAGGAGAAAGAATTGTCCAGGTAGCAAGAGTATGGAGTGCTAGGTCTGAATTTGTTTAAGAAAATATCCTGCTGCCAGGAAATGGGGAATTGTGGGGAGTGAGTGCACTCACAGAAGAAGGGAAGAGTCCCCTGTGAAGGCATGTTGAGTGCCCAGGAGCCTCATAGATCAGAGCCCTTTGCAACAGCCATTCTGTACATGGAAGCGAATTTTTCTTGTTAGGCACCAGGGCCCCACCATTTTACTACTCCTTAGGAATAACAAGGTATGGCCATGCCAGGCAGTGCCACTAAGTTTTATTTTACTCTGTCTTTTGACCCTCCACCCTCTGCAATGTTCCTGGGCACCTCTAAGCCCAAAAAGATCACATGAGCACCTGCCAGTGGGGAGACAGGAAGAGTAAGAAAGGCTCAAGTGAACAAGCTTGAGACTAAGACAGTGATCAATGAAAGCCCTTACATGCATATGCACGTTTTTCTTTCTGGAGAGAGAATCTATAGCTTTCATCAGATTTTCAAGTGGGTGTATGATCCAAAAATGGTTGCTCATATCTAGGAACATTTAAAATGTGAAATCTCCATTGTTTTAGAAGTACTGCTCCTTTTTACATAAATGAAAATTTATATTGGGTATTTTTACCATATTATTATATTATTTACATGATATTAACTTACATGAGTGATTTGTAAATGACAATCTCCATGAGGACAAGAATACCAATCCTATATGTAATACTTAGCATATTGCTTTCTCAAAGTAGTTATTCCATAATTATGTTACATGAATGGATAATAAATGAAGAGAAAAAAGAAAGCATATATGATCCTTTAGATCCTTTATAGGAATAAAATTACACATAATCTATTTCTCATAGTAGGGAAAAGATGCATTTATACCAACTTTGTTAGGATTCAGGTGTAGTATGTTTTGGTTTAAAATAGAAAATGAACTGGAGTGTGCTGGTTAATCTGCATTACCCCTTGTCCCCAGTATCCCGCCATCCCAATCCATTATTTGCTCTTTTCTGCCTTATGCTCTAGCAAATTGATCACCAAGGACTGCATGTCCTGCGCTATCTGGCCAAGTTGGCTGCTGTTTGGGTTTGGCTGATGGGAGGCACTGGTGTAAGAAATAGCTCGGAGTATTTCTTCCTACCATGCCCCGTGCTTTGGCAAACCATCTCTGTCAGCAGTTTCATCCCTCTGAGACTACAGTGCCTACCTGGTGGTCCCTCTTCTACAGTTCCAGGTGGCAGCTCTTCTTGCTCCCTTCACCCTACCCATATCACTGTATGTAGTACTTTCACTAACACTTTTTCCTTCGGGTCATCTGGAGGGAATTCTGTTTCCTGGAAGGGCCCTGACTGATGATACACATTCTAGGTACCAGTCATTGTTCTAAATCCTTCATGCACATGATCCCATTTAATGCTCATATGAAGCCTAAGAAGTAAGTACTTCTTAGTAATAGCTCCCTTTTACAGGTAAATTGACCCTTTACAGTGAATTAATATGATGGCTACATGGGATTCTGTAGGATATCTACATATGAGGTAGTTTGCA